AAATGTGAAGAGCGGGCAGGGCTCCCACGGAACTGTTATTGCTCAGTGTGACGGGTGGTCAGACATGGCAACTTAAGGCATCAGGAATAAGTGCACTAGGTGGCCCCTGAGGCTCACTGGCCCAGGCAGTCCTCGGTGACACCCTGAGCAGCCAGCTCTGCCAGCACATTGTCCAGGTAGTTGGGGTCAGGGTAGCCATGGCCACTCAGGTTTGAGTCCATCTCAGTCTTGTGGTGGATCTCGTTCCACACCACCGTGTTGCTCTCGCCTGTGGTGTTGGAGGTGCCCACTGTGAAAATCAGGCGTCTCTTCCAGGCCACCTTCAGGAGCTCCAGGACCTAGAGGGGAGAAGGAAAAACAAAGCTAGGAGCAGCAGCTAGGAGACTGCCATGCATGCAGCTCGCCAGGAGCTTGACAAGTTAAGAAGGGTGATGTTAATGAGGGTGTGATACCTCACCTTTCTGCCCTTCTCATTGTCTGGCAGGTAACAATAGCGAGGAAAGCCTCTGGCTGTGTATGGCATCCCAGGGTTGGGGTGCTCCGGGCCCTGCAAGAGATGAGACAGATTTGTCATATGAATTGGACAATCCCTCAGCAGCAGGATCTGACACAGGTCCATCCCAAACCTGCTCTTCCATGGAGAGGCAGAAAGGTATTGCTGGTGAGAACAAGGTGTCTGACTTGTTCTTATGTGAGTATTACAGATTCTCCAAATACAATCTCATGCCAGGATACTCTGCCTAAATTCTGGTGGGAGACAGCCCCAAACCACAAAACAGCTTTTCCCATGTGGTTTGGTAACATCTGAAACAGGGCACACAGCTTGAACCTTTGAAAGTTCACTCCCACCACTGAAACTAACGTCGGCTGTGAAGCCACACTATGGGATGTTTCCCACCTTGTGATCATGGGCAGTCTCCTCCTTGTTTCAGGCAGACATCAGACTTTTCTGCAGGTGAACAGCTGGAGCTGCTCAGGAAAATCTCTCTGATGGAGGAGACTCTTACACATTGAAGAACAGCCAGAGCAGCTGCTGGCTCCAGGCACCACAGGCTGCTCAGCAAAGGGCTGCCAGAAGGTGCTGCACTGAATTCCAGGAACTTTCTGGGAGGCTCTCCCAGCCTGTGCTGTCTGGCAGCAGGCTGGGCACTCACCTGGATGCCCCTGCTGATGTGATACACAATCCTGATTGTCCCACAGTCCTTGTGTCCTGGGAGGGACTGGGGGAAAGTGGAGATCTCCATCTTCCCTTTGGGCTGGGTGCCGGTTTTCTCTCCGTAGATGGTTTTACAGGAGGGACACTGCAAACTGCCATCCTGCCACGGGAGAGAAGCCACATCAGAGCTCCACAGCCCAGCCACCTACACACAGGGGCCTGGTGAGGATGGGCCAGCTCAGTACCTTGTTCCCATTGGAGTACATGGCCAGCATGCAGAGCATGTGGAAGGAGTGCTGGCAGTTCCTCAGGCGACCGACGGCCTCTGGCCTGATGGTGCTGGACTGGCACGAGTCGCTGTAGCCCGAGGGGGAGGACAGCTTCTCCATGCAGATCATGCAGTCCTAGAGGAGAAAACATCGTGTGGTGTGAGCACAGGCTGTTCCTGAGGACTGACACACCAAGGAAGCCATCAAGGAGATGCTTCAGGAACATTTGCCTGCAGCTTTAACTGAGATTTAAGGACACAGAGACAAGTTTCCTAATCTGGCTGGTTATGCTCCACTCCACTTCCTGTGTTGTCCAGGAGGTGGAGAGCTGTCATCAGTCAGAAAGAAGAGCATGCTTACATCCTGCTTCTCTGCAAAGGAGTTCCAGTGCAGGGTTTGATCTCTAGTTTTGACCTCTCAGCACTGAGACCAAAACCAAACTCCTTCCTCCAAAAGAAATGGGGAGGCACTGCCAGGATGAGCTATTCAATCCACACTGTGCCTTCATCACGGTCCTCTGATGAGGACAAGTCACCTGCTGTCACATGTGAACTTCAGGCAGTGCTGAGGACTCTCCACCTCACATCAACAATGCCACTGCAAGCAGCACCATGTACCACACCAGACACCCAAGGAAGGATGGTCCTTGGGCACTGCTGTGGTTTCCTTGGCACCCCAGTGAACTGGGCAAGCTGGAGTTAATTCACTGTCCTCTTACCTCATCAGCAGGAGCACTCTTCAGCTCTTCTAAGTACTTCTTCACCACTGATTCTGGCTCTGTTGGTGTGGCTGCACAAGGAGAGATGAGACAGAGAAGTCAGACACTGTGTGGTATGATGGGCACATGTGGGGTGAGCTAGAGAGAAGGGAGACAAGCAGGTCACTGGCCAGGATGCCAAGGAGAAAGGTCAGCTTAGAGGGGGAGAAGAGAACACTCCAACAGATCCCTACAAGCCCAGCAAAGGCTTTGCTTTCAGCCACGGTTCCCACTAGGGCTGTGAGTGCCACAGCTCTGTCTGTAGCTGGTGTGCTCCAGTTCTCCCCACACACCCCAAGTGACACCAGGCACATCCCAGCCAGACTATCTGTGCACACCAGAAGCCAACTGGGATCAAACTCAACAGTCTTGATGGGATAGAGGATCACACAGTCTGTGTTGTCAGAGGAGATAAAAAGGCATTCCCACACCACCCCAGCTGGTGCCCAGCAAGAAAACCCAGCAACACACTGAGCTTCAGGTCCTGAAGCTTGGAATACAGCAAAATGAGCTCCACATCCTTAACATGAAACAGTGACTTTGTCCTGAGCTTCCACACACTCATACCTGGAAGACACAGTGCAAGTCACCAGATGTATAAAATAAACCAGCTTTTAACATGAACCCTATTTGCAGTGTGACACAGTATCTTTGCATCTTCCCAAATATAATCCCTGGTCCCATCCACCTGGGCACAGACACCTGAGCAGCCCTCCAGCCCCAGCAGCCTGGTCCCTGGAGGCATTATGGGATCAAGCAACAAACATCACACAACACCAAGAGCAAATTACCACTGAGTGCATCCACTGTCAGCTCAACTCACAGCCTATCATCCTGGAGCTGCCTAGTAAGGCTTGGCTTAAGCCAGGAAGCAATTCCATGCCTCTGCAAGGCACCTGGCCCTGGGTGAGAGGAGAGGAGCTTCTTAGCAGCCATCAGGTCTGCCACAGAAGCTGCCAGGCTTTTCCACCAGCCTGGGAAAGGAAACATTTGCGCAAGTGATGTTACAACTGCACCTGGCAGGAGGCAGAAGAGAGATCAGACACTTGGCTTGGGGGAACCTCATCCTTTCTTCTTGAATCCACTTCTGGGAGACATCAGGAGAAAACAGTGCTGTGACAAACAGGTTGGTCAAGGTGTAGCTCTTCCTTCTCCAATCTCCCTCCTGTCCAGGTGGATGCTTTAGCACGGACAGAACTGCTGCTCCCAACTCCATGCTCCCAGGAGGACAGAGCAACATCATGTGGATCAGCCAGAGATCAGAGCTGCAGCCGCACCTGCACGACCCATCTTCAGCTCTCCCCATCCACTCTGGGCCTTTCAGGGAAGACAGAGGGTTCACAAGCATTGGCTCTGTGGTTCAAAAAGCTGCACATCAAGAGACAGCCAGTGCAGCTGCTATTCCAGTCAAAAGAACCATGTCTGTACAAGCAGGAAGGAGGGGGTGCTATTTTCTGGATAACCACTTTTCATGGAGAGACAAAATGAAGCAGAAGGGAAGGACTGCTCACATGCCACAAGTGGTGCTGAACAGGCAAAGGCCTGGATGGCACAGATCCTCCACCAGGTACAAGTCACTCATTCCCTAGAGCACCATGGAAGAGAGCAAGGCAGAGCACAAACATCTTTTAGCTAAGAAGACTGAGGAACTGAGGGCTGGACTCTGCTAAATGAAAACACAGTCATTAAGATGAGTTATTCTCAGAAGGGGATTCCTGGCCATCCTGAAACCCATGATTTCTGGCAGCAGTAGCAGGAGGAAGGGGTGGCTGAGCACACAGAGCAAGAAGAGGAGCCCAGGAGGTGAAGGGATGTTCACTCCAAGTGCCAGAGCTCGGCAGGAGGGATGCCTGACATGTCAGGCAGAGCAGGGCTGTGAGGATCGATCTCTGGAGATCCCAGGCCAGATAGGTGGCAACAGGATTAAGCACTAAGCCAAAGTACAACACAGAAACAGGTGTTTTCCTCTTCAGGGGCCAAAATCCCCTAGAAAATCATTTCCAAGAACTGTCCCCAAGAGCAGGAAACAGGGAGGAGCCTGGGCAAGCCTCAGGCTTCCACTTCTGAGGCCAAGGGCTCAGCAGTGCCAGGAGCTGCTTTTCAATGCCTCATCACCAGATCTCACAGGGAATGTAGCTCCTTGTGTTCTTTTCCAAAGAACAGAAACAGTTGCAAGAATTCTCTGCTGGGACTTTGCCTGCATGCAGAGGATCAGGTGGTAGGAATGAGTCTGAAGAGGATGTGATCAGTCTGAGCTGTCCCAGCTCGCTGTGCCTGAAACCCTCTGGCTGAGTGCTGTGTGAAGTCCGTACTCCAGGCTGGCAAACACAGGGTGGCACTTTCCACGTGTGGCAGCTGGAATCAGCCTCTAGAGACCTTCATGGCCCTACAGGAGATGGAGGCTTCAGCTTCTTCTGCTTCACAGGTTTTAGGAAGAACGCTGTGAACAGGACTAGCTACTGTCCCCCTAACTCCATCCTCCTCCATGATGATCACTGTGTTCTCATCCCTGTGCTGCCTGACAGACAGACCACCAAGTCTTCTCTACCCAACCTGCACTTTCCAGGTGGCTCTTTCTGAAGTGACCTTCTTGTCTCCTCTGGCTTTGGGCTGGAGGAAGCAAAGCCAAAAGGATGTACAGCCAAGGTGAAGACAGCGAGGGAAGGGAGCAGGGGGGGTGTGTTACACCAGCAGCAACACCTGCCCAGCACTTGGCAGAAAGCCCCAGCTCACCTGCTCCCACCTGCACAGCAGATCCAAGCAGCTTTAGAGAAGTTCAGCTCATTCAGGGTTGTAGGGGATGCTCCTTCCTCAGAATCCCTTGTGACTTTTCTTCTCTGGAGCAGCTCCAAGGAACAAAGAACTGACTCACCCAAGAACTGGCCAGGCTCACTCAAATGAACTCAATGAAAGGAGACAAAAATTCTGGTGCAGAGCTGGGTAACAGCAAGACAGGAAAGTCCTTGGGATTTTGGGCATTACACTACTTCAGCAGCTGGCATTAGGATGGAGCTCGGGGAACCAAAGAGGCAGAAGGTGATGCAGCCCTCAGCTAACCTGAGGAAACCCATGCCTCATGGATTTGCACAGTGCCATCTGCACTGTCCCTGTCACTCTGCTCTGACAATGCTCTAATGAATTTAGAGAACCAAAGCTGCCTGGAGAGAGAAAGGGCCAGGCAGCCCTGAAACTTTAGAAAAATCCATCCCCAGCTGCAAGGATTTTAAAGCCAAGTCCCAAAGAAGCCTTTTGATGCTGAGAACTCTTTTTCAACAAGGGCAGCAAAGCTCACATGGCCTTCCTTGGGCAGACCAGCACATCTGGCTGGTCACAACCCAGCAGCACAGGAGGACCCAGGAGGCAGCTGGGACCATGGCACGAGCCACATATGCTCCAGCACGTGAATCACTTCCTTACAGGGCTGTTTACTCCATAAAAGTGTTTGCCTCCAAATCTTTGTTCTAGCCATCCCCTGGGATCATCAAAGCCTGGTCAACCCCCAGTTTTCTGGATTCAGAAGTGGATTGAGAATGGACTGGAAGAATTGACCGGTGCTGTTTATCACCAGCTGGCCCAGTGCTGTGCTACAGATTTATCCAGGATGCCAAACAATGTTTACTATTCTTTCATTTACAAAGAGAGGAATATCAAATTGTTTTTAATGCTTCCCCTTCCTCCCTGTAGATAATAAGCTGCTGCTGCAGCAAGGGCTTTCCATGGGCAACATTTAACAGATGTGTTTTGAATCCTTCCACTGCAACCAAATGCTTGCACCAGTAATGTCTCCTTCTGTAGCCCAGACAGAGCCATATGGTTTCCAGCAGACTTTTTTTGATACCCTCTGCAGGACAGACACTGGTTGTTCCTAGTTATTGTCATGGACAGTCACACAGCTCCCATCACCTCTGCTCCCTGGACTTGCAAATCTACAGATTTCTCCATATTCAGCATTTCAGCAGGATGATCCAGTGACCAGGATGCTCTGGTCAGAGCATCCCTGTTTCTGCAGCCTGTCTCCTTCAGCATATGTTTCCCCACAGGAACAACAAGATCTCCCAACCCTGAGGGGCTCCCCAGTCCCACCCATCCCATAGGCACTGGCACAGTCTGTACATCCAGCTGCAGGTGCATGGCAAGGAAGGATGAGTGTGCTCCTCTCCTTCCTCACGGCAGCACCTGCAGTGGGTGCCCATCCCAGAGAGGATGGATGTGCAGGGAAACCTCCTGACACAGCAGACCCAAGCAGTCCCTGGAGCTCCTTGGAAAGGCTGGGGAGCCCTGTGGTGGCCAGCTCTACGCACAAGCAGCACTTGGGGAGAGCAGGACAAGCCACCTGCCCTCCTGCTCCCAGAGAGCAGTCAGGTCCCAGCCAGCGATGCTGGGACAGCGGCTGCAGCATCCCGAGGCAGCACCGATCCACGGGGATGGCAGAGACTGCCAGGCCCTGTGCCAGCATGGAGAGCACAGAGACTACGGCTTCCCCAAGCCCTGCAGCACCTGGCTGTGCCAGAGACATCCCTGCCAGAGCAGCAACAATGCTAATGAGTTCTGACTAATTAGTGCCTCTGTTTAACACACCCCAGCTATTCACAGAGCCAGCCATAATTCCACCAGCACTTCCTCACCCCGTGTGGGACCAGGGTTGGCAGCAGCAGGAGGGAGGGAGAAGGGGCTCAGGAGGGGCACACTGCACCCACCACCAGCTGGTTGTGCTCAGTTAAATGCTGCATCTAGTCCTGGATGCAGAGCTCTTCATGATGGAAAATCCTAAAGGGATGGGGTAAAGAACACGTGATGCAGAAGTGCAGGGCACAAAACGAGCCCATCTCTGTCCGTTGGCAGCATCAGGGTCTGTGAAGGGAAGGAGAACAGTCTGGCCAAAAGTCAGGCTCAGTACCTGCACTGCAGAACAATGTTCTTAAGCCTTGAGGGGTGTTGTACAAACACAGCTTGCTCCTAGAAGGAACTGAACACATTCTGCATCCCAGGAGTGAGGCACTCCACAGGACTGGTATCCCAGCAAGAATCCTGCTTTTAAAAATAAGAGGGGGAATTTTAACAATGTAAGCCACACAAAGTTTCCCCTTCTCATGGGTCAGTGTGGGAAAGGGCTGACCTGCAAGTCTGCTCTGCAGCATATCATGGGCAGGATGGGGAGAGCTGGGACAAATCCTGTCATGCTGGAAGGGAGAAGGAGATGCTTGATGTCCCTTTCCCATTCCATCCCTCCTGCTGTGTTGCCTCTCTGCTCCTCCGGAGCAGCCCAGCCCCAGCAGGTGGCATTGCAGAGCTGGCAGGGAGGTGACAGCGTGCCCTGGGGCTGAGCCAGCGCTGAGGAGCTGCAAGAAGTGATGCTGATGGAGTGCACAGCTACAGCCACAGGAACACCCAATGCGGTGTGTGATGCTCTCACCTCCCATCCCGTGTCCCATCCTCCCCACTCCCCTTTCCACGCCCTGCACTGCTGCTCTCCCCACCCAGCTCAGAAGTCACAAGACACATCCTCCTGTTAACATCCCACCCTTGCAGCATCCTGGCTGTTTGCACGGTGCCAGGGAGGGCTGGATGCTGAGAGCAGAGCAGCACCAGGACCAACAGACCCTACAGAGGAGAAGGCAGAGCCAGCCCGGCTGTGTCTGTGGCCAGCCTGTGACCTAAATAACAGCTGTTCCATGTCACCAAGCTTCATGCTGTTCCATGTCACTAAGCAGCAGCAGGTGACCAACATCAGTGCAGGCCTGGCCCTTGTTTTGGGCTCCTCCAGCAAGCAGGGCAAGCCAGTAGCTCTGTAGGAGGGCCTGGCCACACCACAGCTCCCTTCTGGCACTGTTTCCAGGGCATCCCCACCACCCAGCCCTCATTCCTGCCCTTGCATGCTGCCTGTGCCAGGAGTGAAGCACCAGGAGCCACACAACCCCACCACACTGCCAGCTGGCTCCAGGAGCAGGATCCTCATCCAGCCTCTCTGCCACCCACCTCTGCTCAGCTCTTCTTCACCTCCATTTTCCTTTGCTCCTCCTGTTCTTTGCTGCTTCTCCTGCCGCCCCTGCTTTCTCCTCCCCCTCGATCACACATCCTACTCCACATTTGCTCTCTCACTCCTTCTCACAGCTCTCTCCATAATGCATTTCCATAAAATACCTCCCTCCTCATTTAATTTCTATTTTCCTTCCTGCCTTCTTCAGACAACTTTGGACCTCATGGACTCCAAAGAGAGAAAAAGGTACAAAAAAACCTCCCTAGACAGGCAGGTGCCTCTTCCTCCCCACCTCTAGCCTCTTCCCTTTCTTAAATGTAGAGATCTCTATGTTGAGTGTCTCCACTCTCCCCACTTGGCTTATCCAAAGGGGGACATGCTGTAGGTTTGGTGGTGGTTGACACCCCTGTGCCAGGGTTGGCAAACAACCTCTACAGCTACACCGTGCTGGATTCACACCTACCCCTGCAGAGTCCCAGGGCTGCTACACATGGATGGGATCCAGGCTCTCAGCTGGGAGCCACAGGCTCTGTGAAGGTGAGGGGTGCCAGTGAGCTATGAAGAGGAGAAACAAAAGCCCTACCCTGGGCTCTGCTCAGCAAGAGAGCTGAGGTAATCCATCCCTTCCTGCAAGTGCACGTCCACCTGAGAGTGGTAGACTCTCCACTCCACTCCTTCCACCCCAGACTGAGGTGGAGAGAACAAATCCTCTGCAATTTGACCTAGAAAGCCCTACATGACTCAGGAGCCTGCTTGTCTGGGAGATCCTTGTCATCCCATGACTCAATCACGACAAGCATGGCTCACAAGCAAATCTCTGCAGAGCACATATGGATTTGATGTTCTCAATGGTCTCTCAGACTCATCCCACCAACAACTCAGAAGGTCCTGGAATGTGGACACTCCCCAAGAGGGTGTAGCAGGATCACAGGGGAGGCTGGTGGAGTCTGACATAGAGAGAACAGATCTGTTCCAGCTTTAATTTTGTGTGGAAACAAGCTGATCTACCACAGGACCACAGCTACTTTACCATGCCATTTTAGAGCCTGTCAGAGATGCTGCAGGTCAGGGAAAACATGTCCTGCTTCTCCCCTCGCTGGGATGAACATTGACATCAAACCAGAAGAGCCACGAGGGTGGGGGGGAGAGACAAGAGGGAAAGAGGAGGGCAGAGAGATAAAGAGGAGGAGATGGAAGCAAATATCAGAGTTTGAGCAGGAACTACCTTTCTTGGACACTTTCCTCCCCTCCTTAACTGAGCTGTGTTTTTTAGTGGCCTTATGGGTGCTGGCAGCTTGCGGCACACGGGTGAGGTGCACGGGCAGTCCGGCGGCTGACATCAGAATAGCTGTCATGCCTACAGTGGGTACGAGGTCAACATGCAGGAAGGAAACAATGGGGAAACACATTCATTAAAAAAAAAAAACCTTCAATCTTTCAAAGAAAATAAAAATAAAGTAAAATAAAACCCAAGCCCTTAGTTCTGAGGGCGTAAAATGCTCAGGAAGTAACAGGGTTGGAGTCAGCACAAGGAGAGGATCTGGAAGTTGTCAGAGGGAGGAGCCCAGGCAGCAAATTAAAGGAGGGAAATGTGGGCACATGTCATGTCTGTGACCCTCTGCTGGTGTGGAAAGAGGATCTCCCTCTTTGGGCTTCAGGGCTCCTCAGGCACCGAGTCTGCTGCAGTGCAGAGTTCTCCTGCTGACCAGAGCTTTGGCAGCAGTCCTGAAGGATGAAAGGCATCAGCCATAACCCCTAAAGGTCCTGCTCAGCTGCTTCCCCCTAAAACCACTCTTTTCAACAGTGTCACACTGCACCAATCCCCAGAGTGCAGCTGAGCTGCCTGCAAACACCAGGGCAGAGCTGCCCCACACAGCCCCCCACGCCCTCTCCTCCCTGGTGCTCTGCTTTTCCCTCACTCCTGGCAGCAATGCAATCCTCATCCTCCCCAGTCCCAGCCAGCTGGATCTATGGGATGCAGTTTGATAAAACTAATGAATCATTAAAAAGGACAGCCATTCCCTGAAGGTAAATTCGGCACGAAGAAGCTACAGGACTGATCATGCTGATCCAAGATGATGTTTGCCTGTGAAATCCAGGCTGGGTACAAATCATAACATTTCCAAGGTATCATACTGCTCTCACACTTACATCCAAGAGAACACCTGCTTTTACTTTCCCAAGAGCAACTTCCCACCTGCAACAGTCAGTTCCAGAAATAAGAAAAAATGCTTACAGCTGCAAACCAACAGCAGAAAAGCTAAAAGCCAGCATTTCCCCAGAAATCCCCTCTGAGGGCAGACCATGCAAACCACATCCTAATGCTACAGACATTCCTGCTCAGTTATGCATGGCCAAAGCTGAGATTTCCAAGCCTCTGTTCAGTCATATGGAGAAAGGAAGATCCTAGAGCACATTTGTTCAGGACAAAAATGAGGCACCTTGCCCACACATGACTGAAAAAACGAGTTATGATGGGAAGCATCAGCTTTGTGTACAAGTGGTAAAACTATTTTCTGCCTCAAATATGCAACCAGTCAACAGCATGTGTCCTGTGACTACAAATCCCCTGTGCAATGCCTGTGTCAGTGCCCCACAAGCAGAACTACTCCTACACAGTGCTGACCACAGTTTGTACCTCCTCTTCCTAAGGTCTGAGAACAAATATTCCAGAAGCTGTTCAGCTCCTTTCTTGACAGCCAAAGTTGAATGTTTTTACTAAAACTTTCCCATCTAAGGGCCAAAAGACAGACAAGAAGTGGTTTCACCAGAGTGGGACTGAGACAGAGGAAGGAGTTTCCCCAAGGTTACCCAAGAACTTTTGGAAGAGCTGGGCTAACCACAAGAACAGGCTTCCCAATGGATGGTGAAATGCACTTCCAAATGGAAATAGGTAACCAGGCAGCAATGGATCACCCTCAAAGGGGATCTAGATCTGAGATCTACAGCTCTCCCAGTTCCCAGGAGTGCAGAGCCAGAGGAGAACCTCCAAAGCATACAAAGACTGGGTTAGTACCCCTTGCCCTACTGGAAGCAACAGGCACAACCAAGGAGAGCTCACCAGACCTAGAAATTTCACCACCAAAATAACTCAATTTAAGTCCTAAATAAAGGCCACAAGCCTATTGCAAGCTCCCAACTCATCAAAGCCAGAAGTCCACTACTCCCAGGGAGCTTTCCAAGAAAAGCAGCAGCAACACTGACTAGAGAGGCTGGAGGAACAACATTCTTGAGAGACAGGGAAGATCTCCCACCACAGCTGGGGAAATCATCTCAGTCTGACCCCACCGAGGCTGCACAATACTATTCCTAGAACTGGTGCAGAAAAGGAACAGGAAAGTTGTCTCTAAAAAAGCTGTTTCTAAGCAGTGCAATAGCAATGATGGCACAGACTGACATTTGAAAAGTGAGTCCAAAGACTAACAGGGATTATCACCACCCACGCACAGCTGTCTGATAGGCAAATGCAAAATTAATGTGTTCTTCTGAAGAGATCAATACTGTCTTGCTAACATTAGCAGGCAGAGCTCAGAAAAAAAAGAGAAAGCAGAAGCACAGCCTGAACAACTGGCTTCAGACTCTTAATGGCAGAGGGCAACAAAATTCAGACCAAGCAGGAGCCACAGACCCTCAGGTGAGGTCAGTTATTCTGTAACACAGCTCCCTTGTACCTGGAATAACATGTCCAAAACTGCCTGCCAGCATCATGAATCACCACAAAACAACAACAAAACAATCAAAACCCCACCTTTTGTTTCAGAGACTTTGGGTTTTTTTGAGCTGCAAACCCATCTACATCTCCACACACACATACAAGCACAGGGCAAATGTGGGACCAGAAGAATTACCCCAGCTCAATGTTCCCATATCTTAAATTGGTCAAGAAAATGTGTAAGTGGGAAATTACCTTTTCTTAGCCAATTTTAACCTTCTGCTGCCTTAGGAGCTACATGCAATGAATCATATTCTGCAGATTCAAGTCAAGAGAGCATTCAAAAAGGTTCTAGTGTTACACTGCTCTGCTGCCTCATGTCAACCCCCAGTAGCAATGCTGCTATTAAAGTAAAAATGAAATACTGGAAATCTCAGCATTAATAATCCTCCCACAAGTTTGGTGACTGGAGTCCCCAGGAAGGGACATCCTTGACCCAGGCCTTAGGTGGGAGTGTGTTTTCCTACAAGGTGCCAAAACAAAACAGACACACATCACATCTGCAGATTGAGTCTCCAATTCTCACAGTTGATGCAGACACAATTTCAAGTCAGAACCTGCTCCAAGTATCTGTGGAGTTCTGCCAGGAGCAAGTGTAGCTGGACCTGGATAAATTCTCATCTGAATACAAGTTGCAACATGACAAGTTTGCCCAGACCAAGACTGCTTTGGACATGTCCTGCTGCACACTAGATAGTCCAGGAGCTTGAAAAATATTATTTTATATGTTCACACTTTCCATTGGGCTCAAGGACTGCAGGAGGGAGGAGACAGAAAGCCTTGCAAAGAATCCTTTGGGATCTGATCTGATTCTGTGTGTGCAATAACTACATGCAGAACTGCTTTTTTTCTCTTGCTCAAAGCCTCTTACTTGGCCAGAGATACATTAGTGGTTCCTTGGGGTAAAATTATTTTCACTGGAGCTATGACAACATCCACCAACTTTTTTTTCAGCCTGCTGTGTAAATAAAGGACTTTTTGTAATATCCTGTACAGAAGCTGGGCACAGGAAAAACACCCTGACATTATGTAATGAGTGTTGGCCACAAAGTCACTCACACCCAGCCTGACACACCGCTCTGGTCACTGACCTGGATTTGCACAGGCCTCAGACTGGTACAGGGCAGAGCTTACCTTCAGATAATGTGAGATCTCAGAAAAGCATTGCTAATTTGTATAATCATATCCACCAGCAAAATCAGTATGGTTAGTACATCCCCACATGCCCCAGCTCCAGGAATCATGCAAACAAGAAACAGCCAGTTTTATTTAACAAAAAGTTCCTTTTCAGACTTCATCTTAAACACAGTTTTAGAAGGGCCTTTATATGAGCACCTTGCCATCCCTCGACCCCAAGGCACACCAGCTAAATTCCATTATTCCCAGGAAATGTTAGTCCAGCTGATCCTTAAACACCAACACTGTGGTTAAAGAGTTTGCTTAGACCTGTTTGGCATTTCACTGTACTGATCAAATACTTAAGGGAAAAGAAAAAGCTTAAAAGACAAGTTTCCACATGCACTTTGAAGTATTAAAATAGCAGAAAGCAAGGGGAAAAATTATATATTTTTTTCCACAAAACATGGTTTTAAAGTCAGCTTCATGATTTCTGGGATCCCAAGAGGTGCTTTCAGAGGATGTGGGGTTGACAGTGTTACAAATCCCTTGCTCAAATCCCCAAGCACCCATCACACAAACAAAACCCAGCTTCCAATTCAGACTCATAGGATTCCTCATCTCCTGTTTGACCACCTGAAGTTCCCTCTGCATCCAAGAGATGCACCTGCAGCATTTCTCAATATCAGCCATGAGATTCAGAGGTTGTATCTGTCCAGCTTCAAACCAGAGCCAAAGCTGCTGAGATGCCAGGGGATGGATACCAAGACATATTTCCCAAAATAAAGCCTCCTTCACTTACATCTGAGACTTCTCTCTCCCTCACAACATTGTCCCCCCAGCTTTCTCCACTGATGTTGTAGGAAGCAGTTATGCAGTGGGGACTGGAGGAACAAAAGGAGCACAGCCTGTGTTAGAGAACAACCTGAGTCATGAGTAACTTGCATACCATCAGCAGGATTTTAATTATGAACTAAATACCACTTCCCAGAAGAGGTTCTAAAAACAGAGAGCAGAACATAGAGGGGAAGAAGGTGCCCCCTAAAGACCCAGCCAATTAATATTTCAGCAAAACTTTTCCTTTTTACCAGAACTCCATTGCTTGCTTTTCACCAGAAATATCCCCAGAGATTTATTTTCCTTCAGCTCTCTAATTAACTTGTATTAATCTTTTCTCTGCTTCTATGTGACTTTGAGGACTCAAATTCAGATTTCCCTCCTCCCTTGCACCTCTGAGGTGCGGGACACTTGGCAGAAGGCAGCACAGCACCCAAAGCTGTGTTGTGTGAAGACCTGCACCTGAAGGAGACCCTGGCCCCAGGGAGCTGCTTCTGCACTTCCTTACATCCCCATGTGCCTTAAGCTGGCTGCCTCAGGGAGAGGTGAAGAGTATTAAAATGAGGAATTATCCCTTCTTTTACACCCCCAGACTGCAACAACAGAGATACCAATTACAATTTTAACCATTTTATTGTATTAAATGGTGGCAAATTGCTTATTCTATTGGGATTTTCTACAGCCTTTTCTACCTAAACGTGGCACCACAAGGCATAAACTGACTGCACATATTCACCTCCTTACACTGAGAATCACAGATAACATTAACACAGCCTGGATTCATCAGTGCTCTTCAGCTCTGTGCTTTATTTACCTTTATGTGATTAAGTACCTAATTACATAGTGCTAACAGCCAGGGCATGAAAGGCAGAGCTGTTATAAGCAAGGGGAGTTCTGCACAGGTAACCCACCTTGACAAGGCCTGAGCTTGACTTTACATCTTGTTTCCACAGTGATTTGCTAAGGAGAAGACAGATGGGCTGCATGCTGTCAGAGGACACCTGTGTTAGTGTTCATGCAGTGCCAGTTTGGCTACAGACATGTGCAAGGCAGTTTTCATGATGCTAACATTAGATGAAGGGAAACATCAATCCTGGGGACCCTTTTCAGCCAGGGTAAAACCTGGCACTTAAGAAGAGACCAAACACCTTTTTCTGGAATAAGGTGGGAGCCACTGTCTTGAAAACAAGAATGTAACTGTCTCTGCTCACTCAGGAGCTAAGTTTTATGTCCCAGGAGTTAATAACCTCAAGAGACCATGCATGGACAAGACACAGAGGAAGGAGAGGGTTAACAGACATTCTGTAGTGTTTAAAACAGAGAAAACTCCAGAAAATACCAGATGTTTAGCACTCTTCTACCAGGTAATGAAGTTTGAGAGCACAGCTGGTACCAGTACAGAGATCTCAGCTCTGGGCAGAGCACCCAAATCCCCCAGTGGCACCACACCAGGGTCAGTGGTTTGGCACTGGCTGAGTCAAAACACAGCAAAGGTGCCACTGGCTTTTGGCACAGCAACACCTCCACAGGAGCTGGACAGCACAAACTGTCATTTTCAAGGCAATGCCATTTCAACTTTAACAGGCAAATCTACTCTGAAAAGAGAATTGAAAGCTGGTACTTTCATCCCTCCCAGACATATTCCTCAGTATATTTAGTATTGTGTTCACAGGTTTGGATAACAAGCAAACCCGTGTTCTGCTGCACCAGGAGACAATGTCTGATTCAACTTCTGTATCCCCTTTCCCAAGACAAGGCATCACAACCCTCTTTAAGCTAAAGACCACCTGGGCTTTTTTATTAAAACCACATTGTAAAAAATCATATTAAAAACCACACAAAAATCTCACACCACTCCTCTCCTTTGACTTTCAAAAAAGCAGAAAATAGCAGCTAGCACTGAGCTTGATTCACATGCCCTTTCCTTTGCTACTTGCTCATCCACATGTACAGAAGAAGATAAATAGCCATGCCTCAAATAATCCCACTTATTTTGAAAGACTCAGGATGAGAAAAAACAGTTAATAAGGTTTATCCATCCCATTCTCCCCCAAATCAGCCCTCTTTGCTTTTCTGAAAAGTCTTTGGATCTAAAACACCAGCAACAATTCTAACTCTTACCAAAAATCAAAATTGGAAAGTGTGTGCTACAAGAAAGGCAAACCTCTCATTCACCTAATCCTAAGAACTGAGCAAATAAAGCACAGGGGAGCTCTTACCTGCCAGGGCCTGGCTCACCCTGCTGGGTTTGGGCATCTTGACAGGCAGGGCCTGGGTACTGGGGAGAAAAAAAAAATAGACAACTTTAACAGCAAGGATCAGAGACACTCAATAATACACTGCTCCCTCCTAAAGCCCAGGGCCCTGGATATATTAACAGGGATTATTTGCTCAGATGAGCCCCAGCTGGGACCCTGACCCAGGCACCCTTCTCCCATTGGGCCAGCAGCTGTACTTGCCAGAGCTGTCTCCTAGATTTACTTACCTGCAAAGTCCTTAGAGCTATGCTGCATGTAGCTGCTTCCACCCCCTTCTTCTCCTAACTCATCCATTCCTCCTGCTGGACCCTGCTCTGATCTGGTGATACATCCCTGCTCTTGCCAATCCCCCACAGAGCTTCCTGTGAGCAGCCAACCTGCACTACACATCCAAGGGGGATGTGGGGATGAGGGAGGAAAGGCTGAAAGAGACCTGGAAGAGCTTGGCCCCCATTTTCATCTGGGAATCAGGAGAATTTGGACACCATACATGCCTTTCAGGTTCCTCACCTACTTGTTTTGGCAGTGCTGGCAGCTGTATTTCAGTTTTGGGATACATGGGCAGCCAGGGTTATACCATTAGCTGGCAGCAGGAATTAGGAAAGGGGAGCAGCAGCATCAACATTGATGGGGGGTCACTAGAGAAGAAAGGAAGCTGGATCCACATTAGCAGAACAGGAACACTTGAAATCCAAATGCTGGCACTGAGAAGCTATCCATGGACTTTGTCTCAGGTGCCCCACGTGCCTGAGATGGATGAGGCTCATGCACCCCAGCAGCAGTTAATACATTCAAACAACAATCTCCAAGGATTCCCCAAAAATTACACAAACCTGGCCAGCTGCTTAGGAATTCAGAGACTAAGGAGGTCAAGAGCCCAGATCTCATCCACTATTTAGGGGAAACCTTCTTCTGTCCAGCTGGGATGCAAGAGCTGCCCTGCCCAAAAAGGCACCACAGAGGTCTCTCCTTTAAGTCTTGCTAAAGTATTTGTTCACATTTCCATGACAATGACCAGGGCTGAACAGATTTTTGAGTGACACATGGCTGTTTTCCACCCCACCTCTCCTACCTGTCACAGTTTGGAATAAGTTCCCACGTGTGTTGCACTCTGAAGAACACTGGGCAGGACAGAGGGCTTGGTGCAGCTCTGGCAGCCTGGCCAAGTGAGATCAGCACCCCCAGACCCTTATAAAGCTCTCCAGATCACAGAGGTTTCCCTCCTGCCTCTTTCAAAGGCTGTGCTTTCCCTTCTGCTGCCCCAAATTTTGCAATGCCTTCAAATGATGCAACAGACTGTTCTGAATACAATTCAAACCCACCAAACACAGGGAAAATCTTCCCCGTGATTTCAAAGAGCTCTAAATCAGATGTCTTTATGACTCTCTTTCTTTCCTGATTCACCCTCTTCGTCACAGCTCTTTCTCAGGTATTTCTAAACTTCTTTATCTCATCCTTTTGCTTCACTTCTGCCCTTATGTTCCTCTTCAGAAGATGGCAAGGAGCAGGACTCCTTGTTCTCCATCTGCAGACATGAAGGATAGTTGAGGACCAGGAACTTGAGAGAACTGCTCCCAAAAAAATCAGAGACATTGGACCTTCCCTCATTTCCTCCTGAGAAGCCAAGAAGACACCACTGAGCCCAGGCACCCCCTCCACCCCAGCCTGTCATTGATACAGAACTGTTTGTGTTTTGTTGTCATACCCTGAGATGAAGCAGCATCTTGGGTGCTATCACTTCTCCACGGAAGGTTAAAATAAAACAAAGCACAAAGCTGAACCTACTGCTGTGCCAAGAAAACAGGTGGGGGCAGAGAATCCTTCCAACAGGCTGGAGCACAGGGTCATTACACCTGAGGCTGGAGAAAGCAAACCCAGAGCTGCCCTGGGAAGGGGATCACTGGTAACCCTGCTTTGAAAAGATGGCAGAGAAATCCTTCACTCTCCTAATTGTGAGACTCAAATCCAAGTCATCCATGAGTTGGAGGTTGTATGAAGTTGTCCCGGTTTCAGCTGGGATGGAGTTAATTTCCTTCCTGGTAGCTGGTACAGTGCTATGGTTTGGATTTAGGATGAGAATAATGCTGATAACACAGAGATGTTTTAGTTGTTGCTGAGCAGTGTTTACACTAAGTGAGGCCTCTTCTGCTCCTCACCCCACTCCAGCAGTGAGGAGAGGCTGGGGGCACAAGAAGCTGGGAGGAGACACAGCTGGGACAGCTGACCCCAAGTGACCCAAGGAATACACCAAAACACAGGATGCCATAATCAGTAGCAAAACCAGGGGGGAAAGTGAGTGGGGGCTGCTGCTTGAGAATGGCTGGGCATTGGTCAGTGGGTCTGAGCAATTGCTTAGTGCATCACTTGTTTTGTACATTTTAATTATCATCAGCATTACTACTTTCCTTCCCGTCTCTGTCCTGTTAAACTGTCTTTATTTTACCCACAATTTTTACTTTTTTTTCTTCCAATTCTCTCCTCCACTCCCCTGGGGGAGGATGGAGTGAGTTGAGGGGCTGTGTGGTGATTAATTGTCTGCTGGGTTAAACCACAACAGAAGTAAGAAGAGCCCTTGAGATCTGCAGAGGGAAACAGATAACACTTGATGCATTTGCAAGCAATCAAGTTTGGGAAGCTGTGAGTGCACTGCAGATAAATTACCATCCATGAGCCAGGAAACAGTCACTGATCAGCTGCACTCCTGGTTTAAAGGCAAAGTGTGTCAGCTTTGGCTGCTGGAGGCTTTGAACCAACTGATGTGATGATGGAGAAACCAAATACTTCTTATTTCAATAAATACACACATTCATTAGCAGCTCTTAGCTAACAGTGCTGTGGGACGTGCTGACCCATCCACTCTGCACCGTGGGAGCAGGGCTGCCACACTCCCTGAGCTCTGTTACAACTGCAGAAAGCCCAAAGGCTGATGAAATCAAGGGAAATCCACTCTGCTCTGAGGTACCACAACACTGCCCAGGCAGGTCTGCAGCCACAGTGCGTGGGAGGAAGTACTGCTGTGCCAAGAAAGGTGAGGAAATGCTACTCAGAGCCTACCCTGGATCTGAAGTGGGGGTTTGGGAGGAGGAAGGGGATGAGGGAGCAAGGAAGGATATTGTTATTGTAGTGTAACGTGGACTGTGCATCCAATAATGGAACAGCACAAGCTCAAGATATTCCAGCACTGCCATACCAGTGCTGGCTTCTGGGGAGAGGTCCTGCTCATTTATTGAAAACAGCTCAGTCAGGAGAAAAAACGATGTTTTGAATGAGGGAGATCCGGGCAGCACCAGTGCAAGAGCAAGCACTGCACTGTGGAGAGATGAGAAGGATCTGCCAAGACACCTGCTCCTGCTACCCATGAAGATTTCTTACCAGGCAGTGCCTTTGACTCCTGGCCAAGTGCTCTCACAGGTGCTTGCAACACCTGAAAGCCAACGCCTGAATTCTCTGAATTTGTCCTGGTATCAGTTCCTCCTTCCTGGTCCTATTTTGTCTTGCTGTTTGCCACAGCTCCTGCTCTCCCACTGCTCTGTGTGCTGGATGCTCCTGAGTGTAACTGGGATCACCAGATTGTGAATAAAAGGATGCAAAATAAGACAATGTTCTTGGAGATTCAGCAAGAAGATCCTGCTAAGATTTCCCACCACAGATTCCCAGGCAGTCTGCTACAGGAGGCAGACAGGGCAGACTGAGATTTCAGCATGACAAACCCACTTGCTTCTCCAGAATTTCAAGAATCTGCAACACCAGTGAGACAGCAAAGCACAGGTCCAGCAAGGAACTGTGTCAACAGCTTGGAATCCAGGGCTGCTACCACTTCAAACACTGGATGGCCAGGTTGGAGCCATCACCTGAGCCACACATGAACAATATCCCAACAGAGCAGAACTGGGGAAGCCTGTAGGAACTCACCCTCTCCACCTGATACAGCCCTTTCTTCCTTCCTCTCCCCTGGCCAAAACCAGCAGGCCACAGATCTCTGTATCATGGCATTTTTGTAGAACTCTGGGCAACAGCCAACACTTCTCCTCACAGATCAGAGCAGTGTCCAGCCCTGCTTCACACAAAGTGCTACCACGACACCTTAAGGTCCAAACCCCTTCCCAGGGCTCACTGAGTGTGGGTGACATTAATGACTCCACCTGGTGGTAGCACCATGCTGGCTAAAAGGGCAAGTGACAGTGGGCACAGTGGAACCAGCACCAGGAGAGCTCCTCACCACCCAGAGGAGCTTGTGGGAATGCCTATGGACAAAGCTGAAGGATACAAAGGTGGAGAGAAAAAAGGAAAGGCCCTGGTTAGGGTACTCCTTGATCCTAAAGCACTGACTGTGTGCTGTTCCCCATAGGAAATTCGGGGTCCAGAGCTCTCTTAAGAACACTCCAGTTCTGTCAGCATCCTTTCCTAGCTGCCAAGACCCCTGTTCCCCCTGATTTTATACAAAATCCTGCCCCCATGAGCTGCCTGCCTTATATCTAGGCACAACCCAGACCAGCAGCCAAAGCCACATAAGCTCAGAGAAGCCTGCAGAGCTACTGTAGGGATTTGCCTGGCTGGGACACTAATTAATATCCCTCAGAAGATTGCTTCCTGCAGCTTTACTTGCTCATATTACAAGTAGGGCACTCCTTACTGTGCTTCAGGAGTGCCTCGCTCTGTAATTAGACAGCACAGTGCAGGGAACAGGGGAGCTCTTGCCCTAGGGAATTGATGCTTTCCCATGTGGAGTGGGAAGGATTTGCCAGGAGGTGGCTGGGATCCTGGTTAACAGTGCTGAGATAAGGACACAACCCTTGCCATGGCACACTCCATGTGCAGATTCCAGTGCTGTCCATGAGGGAGGCCAGATTCATTAACTGTGTTTCATCCACGATAGGAATGAAGCAAAGAAGAAAGAAGCAAAATAACTTGCCCACATGCATGTAATTCATTAGCAGCACAGCCAAGAATATTAGCATATAGTTAAGCCTTGGCACTCCTCTCTGGGTTTTCAAGTGGCTTTGACCCTCTTGAGAGCAGGAGGAAATTAAAGTGTATTTGGCAGTGCAGAGCTCCGCCTGCTCTCACACCAGCATCTGCCCTCCAGCAAGCAGGAAATACATTTAATCACCCTCAGTGGCACAGCAGCCCGGGCATGCCTGTTCTGGGGGCTACCCCTGCCTGCCTGCCAGCTAGAAATAACAGTTACAGCCACACAGAGAGTCAAGCAGCTCTCCAGGGTGAACTGCACCTCCTTCTCAGCCCTGCAGGAGAGAGCTGCTGCCATTTTTAGCTGTGTTTCCGAAAGAGACTGGGTGTAAATAACTGCACTGCCTTTCGGTCTCTCCCAATGAGTTTTTGAGCCCTTCTGCCAGTTGCAGCTCAGCCACCTCTTCAAGTTTTGTGGAGATCAGTGGTTCTGTAAAAGCAAGTAATCTGTCAGGGCTGCTTTGGAGCTAAAGCTTGTAGGGTGAACACAACACAACCTTTAGCAGACACCAGAGGATTCACCGTGGCCCAGTGCTTCCTCCCCTCGGGTCTCTGAGCATGGGCCAGGACAGGAATTGCACATCACAGCTAAGAGAGCACAGAGAGAAACCCATGGCAGGATAATTAACACAGGATAATTAGCCAAAATGGTTAGACTGTTGGGTGATGCAGGGCACTGACTGCAAGGGAAGGGGAACTAACCACCATATGTCTGAGGAGGGAAGACAGGGAGCCTAGTGGATAAAATAACCCAGGAATGCTTGGGGCTTAGGAATTAAATGAAACACATTGTTAGAGTTTGCTACTCAGGTTTCCCCTAATTCACAGAAATTAAAGGATTTTCTGCTGGAACATGGGTTTCATGAGTTCAAGACTGTAACTCCAACCAGGAGCAATTACACCCACCCAGTGGCTCTGAACCCCAGCACAGGGCTGATGGGGAAAAGCCATCCCGAGCTGTCAGCTAGGGATGAAAAAGTCCCTTCACATATGGCACGCTGCTGGAAGGCAGAGATTGCCCCCCTGTGTGCATTTGTTATTCTGGCAGGGATAAAGAAGTGACCCCGGCACAAATAATCCCAAAGGAGTGGAGATCACACCCAAGGGAACAGACAGCAGTGGCCAGGGGAGTGGGGCTCACTGGGGGGTGGGTTTTACACAAGTCTCACAGCACTCACACACTCCCAGGTATCCAAAGAGCTGCTACCTGCCCTGTGTGGCATGTCCTGCTGTCCCCTGCATAGATTTAACTGTACAATCCCTTTGCATCCCCCAGAAAGGCTGGATTGCCTAGGGATGATTGCCAGTACACCCCCTCCACAACACAAACAGATGAGCTGTAAAACCGGTTCAAACAGCCTGACCTCAACCAGCCATGGGCACCTCCTGGCTTTCCCTGACCATCCCTCTCCTCCCAGTGAGCACTGCCTGGGCCATAGGCTCAGTTCCTGGTCAGAAGCCCGTGGCAACCCTCTCCAAGCACCTCTTTCCCATCCTCCCCTCCTTTCAGGACAGCCTGTCCCCCCAACTAGGCAGCACACAAGGTACCCAGAGCCTGATGGGCTCCAGACAAGCTTATGGAACAACCTGCAGCACTTGGCTCTTCCTTTTCCAACTCCCCACCCTGAGTCACTTTGCAAATCCTTTGGGAAAGGATGGGGATTTCAAGCAGCCCAGTGGCCCCACGCACCCACCAGCAACTCCTGTGAGAAGGGGAATTTGGCAGCTTCTTCAGGAGACAGCAAGAGCCTTACTGGGGGCTCTTGTAGGCAGTGCTGAGGTCTGATTTTCAGCCCTACTCGGTAACCGGAACAGAGAAGCACTGTGGATGCTTAAGGCAACACAAAAAAGTCACCAGGTGTTTAAAAAGCACCCAAAAAAAGACCATGAGAAAGAAGAACAGGATGTGAGAAGTCATTTCACTCAGATGACCCTGAAGAGGGAAAGTCCTGATACAATACTAAGAAAAACATCTCAAGATTCACTATCTTGTTTAAAACACAAATGAGACTCAAAACAAACCTCAAACCCCCGTGCCTTGTGCAATTAGCAGAATGTGCTTCCAACACTGCTAGATCTCTTATCTCTTACCTACTTGGACAGGTAAATCAGCTCTGGCAAGTTTCCCTGCAGCTTCTCCGGGGTTCAACAGCTGGATTATTCCCAGTGAAGTGAGTAAGGCTCTGCCATTTCCAGCCATTCACAAACAGAGGGAGCAGTCAGCCAGCCCTTGCTGGGTCACACTTGGTGCCAGCACTGCTACAGACAGGCCACACACACCTCTGCCAGCAAGAGCTTGAGCACAGGAAGAGTTAAGATCCTGAAACTGGAATAACCAACTGTGGCTTGCCCCAGCAGCCCATGCCATGGAGAGGAGCCGGGCTGTCAGACCACAGTCTTCTGCTTTTCACTGAGCTGCCAGCAACCAAAATGCCTGAAGAGAAGTGAAGCTTTTCCTCCCCCACTAGTAAGGTGCAAACACAGCTCTCCTTCAGCTCTAGCTGATGGGACCTGAAATCCTGGGCTGGGAGATGCCCACTGGTTCCAGCCCTGTCAGAGAGGAGCCACAGTGAAAATGGATTCAGTGGTACCTCTGCTCTTCATCACCACTTAGCCTGAAAAATAGCCTGGACAGCTGATTTTGACAGAGAGTTCATGAGGTCTCAGCCACATGCAATGAGTTCTGTGGTCCCTCCTTGCAGGGGAAGAGCTTAGGACTCAAAGCAGTGCTCTACTCTACTGCCTAATTTGAATTAAATAAGTGTGTTTAAAAGTCCCTTTTCCTTCACTGAGTCTCTCTCCAAGCTGCTTTTTAACCTAACCCAAAACACCACTGCTCACTATTAATTTTCTCAAACCTTCAGAATTTCAACCTGAGTGAATTGCCCAGTGGTTCAGGGAGACTGGTAGACAGGGACTATATTTCAAATGGGGAAAAAAAAAAAGGTAGAAAATAGAGGGGAAGTCTTTTCATCCACTGCACTGGATACACAGGCACAAATTTCTTTCTCCTAGGGAGAACACCTTTGTAAAATCTTCTGGGACAGAGAGGCTCCTGGATAATGCAGACCCGAGCACAGCAGATCTCTTGGATTCACATATGGTATTTAAAGGTGAATTAGGATCTGTACCTGACTCCATTAGATGCTGTCAGTGCTGCACTGAGGCTCCCAGTTTGAGCCAAAACCAAGGGGTTCTGTGCACTGAGTCTTGGTGTTGACCTTGCTCCAGTCAAAGTGGGTTTGTTATAGGGCACGTAGCCAACGTTGGAAGAACTTACAGACGCAGTCCTGCCAGGAGCCTGATGAGTAGTGGAAGAGTTGGGAAAGTTTGTCATGGAGTGACGGTAGCGTGTGGTGATGGGACCAGTCCCGCTGTTTGGCCAGCACTGCTGGCAAGAACATCCCACCCCTGTGTGAAGGGGTGTGGCAGAGGTCGTCACCGGGTACGGGGCGTCCAAACGCCTCTGAACGCTGCGGCGGAACCTCGTGGTCTTGTTGGTCTGGACTTGAGCCACAAAGTCAACCTCATAGTTGTAGCCCAAGGGCCCGAGATCCACTCGCTGGTGGTTGGTGGCACGGGCCTGCTCCAGGAACACGCAGACGTTCATCTCGTACGGGGACCACCCGCCCTCGTCGTTCTGCCACTCCCAGACGATGCCCTGCCCAGCAGCTGAGTCCCCTGGGAAGACGTGCCTGCGGACAGCCCGCATCGTCCCTGTGGGGGAGAGGAGGGGAGAATAAATACAACAATTCAGGGAGAAGAGAATTAAGAGGGACGTTGTCCCAGGGATTTGTTTCTGCACAGATCCGTGCAGGCTTTTTTCATTCTTCCTCAAGAGGGGCACTAAAAGACCTTCTCTTCCCAACAGGGCTGGGTGTGCTCATGAAGCTTAGAAAAACGCAATATCCCCGAGATCCCTGTCCCTCTGCCAAATCTGATTGTGGGCTGGCAGCAGGTTCAAAAGCTGCTAGGAGGAAGGGTGGGAAAGGAGGGAAGAAGAGAGGATGCAGACGCAGACACACCCAAGCACAAAAGCACAGTGATCACATATGCCTCCCTGACGTTAAAAGGGAAAAAAAAAGTAAAAAGAAAAAAAATAAAAAATCAGGCTGAGGCACAGATCTGGTTAAAAAAAAACCAACTCCCACAGCCTTGACAACAGAGTAACTATAGAGACAAGACACCATCGGGAAGAGCTTGGTAGGAGCACTTAAGGGGCTGAACGCCCACTTGGCTACACAAGGGTCAGGGCAATTTTGGTCTTGGGAGAGTGGGTGAAGTCCCACAAGGAGCCAGGGCAAGGACTTTGGAGAAGGACAAACTTCTCCAGGCTCCTGACTGCTGGGAGAGAGAGCAAGACTAGAGAGGGGAAGACAATGAAGTAACTTGAAAACTGGAGAGAGCAGCTGTTCAGACAAAGGGAGAGAAATGGAAGGAGACACACTGCTCTCTCAAGGCCGCTTGACAGCGACAGCTGGAGCCCGAGCCCCCTGGAAGCCTGGCTTTCCAGGATGACTTCACTCCTGGGTACTTTATCCCTTACTTCAAAAAAGCAGCAGCCTAATGAGAAGGAGGGACGCCACCCAACAGGAAAGAAGCTCTGAAACTTTTGAGAAATGGGTTCTTGCAGCAGGGTCAAAACTGCTGCTGCAGGAAAAATCCTCAGCAGCATTCTGCACAGAGAAAGAAGAGCAGCTTTTGCTGTGGGAAAAGCAAGTCTGGAGATCTAGGAAGGTGAGGGTGAACAGGGGTGCAGCGAGTTGTTACAACACAGAAGGAGTTCAAAGAAGAGCACCAGGAGAAATAAAAATAAAAATAAAATTAAATAAAGCCTCTGAAGAGGTGATGAAAGTTATGGCACTGTGCTCCAGGACCCCAGGTGAAAACTGGCATGTTTACAAGTACCCACAGCTAAAGCCTGAGGAGAACTGCCCCAGGGTATCACTGGAGACTCAGTGGGGCACAAGCAATTCAGGCAAGCTTTACACCTAACAAGCACATCCTAAGGAAGAGGGAGGACAGCCCATGTGGGACTCCACAGTGCCAAAGTCCAACTGCTGCTGCGTACAGGCTCTGCCTGCCTGCATGCTGGCATGAGGATCATGCTGCTGCTATTGCTCCAAACACTTGTGAAAAGTGTGTTTCCTTATCTCAGCACTGCTGAAGTTCCAGAGCTGACACAAAGGCTAAGTCTCTCTTAAAGGCAGAATGTGCCAGACCAAGGAAGGCCAAGACTTGTGTTTCTGCTCCAGAGCAGCGAGCATCCTGCTTATTGCAGAGCAGGACTCTCCAGTGACACCAGCCAACACACAACATCTCATCAACACACTTAAAACACTACTAGCAGCCAGTCAAACACAACAACCTCCCCAATAGCTCAACCATGGAGCTCAGGATTCCTGTGGGACCAGACTTTCCACTGGTAGAAAGTAGCAGAACCAAGATAACGTTCCCAGCCTGGAATTGATGTCTTAGTGGAAAAGCAGACTAAATAGCCAAATGCAAACTCTGGCAATGACTGTTCCTATCCAGAAAGTCCTGCCAAACTTCAGAAACATAAACCCACAGACTCAAAAGATGGATAACTTCAGGAATAAAGCCCTGATGGGGATATAGGGGATGGGACTGGACTGGGAATGAGATGATGAGACATGCATTACATTTAGAAACGAGTGCAGGGAACCTGTTCCCAGAGAACAGGGACTACCACAGATAAGGCAAGGTATCCAGTGGGACACATGTCTGGAGATTAGCAAGGCTTCCCCTGCTCCACTGGCAGAAGCTCAGAAGCTAAAGGCAGCACAAAGAAGACTGCAGGATTTGCAAGCAACTTGTGTTTTTAACACACTCCAACAGCAGCAGAAAGAAGATTTTTTAGGAGTCAACAACAAGACCAAGGCCATGCACTTGAAAAATGTCCCCCTTCCCCCAGGCTGGCAGGGAAACTGGTATTCCTCTCCAGGGTGGGCAAACAGCTGTGGAGGGAGGACAACTCCTGCTGCTCCCCAGTACTCACTCCCAGCTAATCTGCCTTGAGCAGCAGCTGAAGCCCACAGCTAATCCTGCCCACAAGATCCCCCCGCACAGCTGTCATTCCCTGCTGCTGGGGACGCTGCTCCCGTTAACACTGGCTTCCTGTTATTCTCCCTGGCTTCCTTTGAAGAGCCTATTTATCTGTCTAATAGCTAATGAGCAGAATACAACAGCCTATTTTTTGCACTGTTTAAAGATATTTCATGGGGATGTTTCCTGCAGAGATTCTTTTCTCCAGAACATGACAAAGTTCAGCTGGCGGCTCGCTCAGAAAGGTTCACGTTTGAGGCAGTGCCTTGCAGAGAGAAAAAGCTTTGCTTAGAACTGGGCCATGGAAAGGGGATATGAGAGCTTTTCCAACAGTCACGTTGCAGAGCACACAGGTATTTGTGGAGGGAGGCTCACAGCACTGGCCACTCTGATCAGCATCCCTTTGGATCAATGGGAAACACTGCAGGAGAGCTGTGGAGCAGAATCAGCCTTTTTGTTATTAACAACTCAAACTCAGATCTAGACCAAGGAAACATGAGATCATACCAGCCAATATAATTTCCAGAATTGAACTGCACTGTCTCCCAGAGATGAACAGCTCCAAAGCAGCCTGCAATGGACAATAGTCACTGCATGTTTTGAGATCTTTCACAATGGTCTAAAGAGATACAAACCCTCTAAGGACAGACAGCAGCACTTGTGGAAAGCAATGTGGGACACGTTTCACCCTCCCACAGGCTCTCTGCTCACCTTCACCAGATAGCTCAGGACTGCAGTCCAAACGCTGGAGCACTGGCTGAAACAGCCAAAGGCTGGAAGGCTCCTTCACAAGTTTGGCATGATTAAAACAGGAAAGAAACAGCTGCTGGTGCCAGCTCTGGTGGTCCGTGCTGTGCCACTCAAAGCCACAGCCTCAGCTGCCCTTCCAGATGTTTGAACAGGCCACGCTGAGCACACCTGCCACGGCATCCAGCTTAGAAAGTGCCTCACCTCACCCAGGACACCACTAAAACTCAGCCTAAGGTCGCCAAGTCAGAATAAAAACACGGATGCAGCTGTGACGACCACTCACATTCACTCCGACCACTTCCCTTTCCTGCCGGAATTGGCTGATCATGCAGTTGATTCAAAATATTGCTCATCTGCTGTTTCAACTGGCAAGAAACCAGCACATAGCCCCCTCTCTAAAAGCTTGGGATGATGCTCAACTGCATCCTGGAATGATGGGACAGACACTGTCAAAGGGGAAACTGATGGATGGAAAATTTTCCAAAGCAGCCGTTCATTCGGGGTGTGTAATTTGGGATCTCCCTGGATTTTCCAGGGATGAAGTGCATGCATTCCATCCTTGCCCCTTTTCTAAGCTCCAGCTGCTCAGCACATCTGGAGCAAAAGAGGGCAGGATTCTGAGCTGCTACTCCCAGTGACCCCAGGAGAGTGGAGAATGAAAATCAGGTCTCAGTTCTGCTATTGAGCCCATCCTGCCCTTTCTCCCTGGGAGGAAGCGAGCCAGGCTCACACAGCACAAGTGGAGGGAATATTCTGCTGCAGCATTTTGGTGTCGTGCGGGGGCCGCAGGCACTCGCAAGCAGCTTGAGCAGGGCTGCATGCCAAGGTAAAGCAGCTGGCACTCCAGCTCCAGAGGGAGCAAGGGATTCAAGCAGGAGGGTTGGAATTGTAAAAAGGCCTTTTTTACGCAAGTGATCTTGAATGGATTGGGGGAGGGTGTTGGAGGGGGGGAGTTTCCAGCTCTGAGAGCTCTGGCTCACAGGCTGGGAGCTCCAGGGTTCCCATGATGATGCTCCTGAAGAGATCACGGCTGTCTGTCTGCATCCAGCTTCACAGATTTTTCCACACTGGGCAGCAGACAGCATCGGGAGAGCAGCAGATGTGCTCACAGAGCTGCCCAGCATGGCAGCAAACAGCAGAACTTTGCAGGGCTCTTACACACACCCAAGCACACCAGCAGAACAGGCGGGGATGCTCCCTTACCTGTGTCCTGCCGGAACTGCATCAAGCTTGGAATGTCGATGACATAGGGAGCCAAGGCGGGATCCGCGTGTCCCAAAGGGATGCTGCTGGCCAGCCCCGACCCTGAGCGCCGGCCCTTCTGCTGAGAGGCCTGGATAACCTGCTCAATGTAGCTGCAGACATTGCCTCGGTAAGGCCTCCACCTGCCAAATTCATCCTGCCATTCCCACACCGCCACTGCCGTGGAGGTGCTGCTGTGCCCCGGGGCAGAACCGGGCGGGCCGGACGGCCCGGCTGAACCGCTTCCCGCTCCCTGAGCTGCTGCCATGTTCCTCCCTGAGGTCTGGGCACGCCGTGGTTGGAAGTGGCAGCTGTGCTGGCCTTACACCATTTTCTCCTGGGGACCTGCAACAAGAAACAGAGAGCACAGAGGGCTGAGAATGATGTCCTGAATCCCCCCCACCCTGCATCCACATCACACAAGCTCTGACTTTCACAGAAGATGGTCACTATGGATTGAGGAGAATCCAGAGAAGCAGACTGGCCTCAAAACCCTCTGGCTGAGCGTGAGTGAAGTACCACCACTCGCTGCCAACTTCTGCTAATTGAGGGCAAACACTCTTCAGGGAGGCTCTGCTTCCTATGGTTTGTGGCACCAAACACCACCTGAGTCACCACAGTTCTGTACCAAAACATCCCTGAGCCACTGCTGATCTGTGTCAGGCAGACCTGTAAGCCTTGGCATGAGTTCAGACAGACACTCACTAGCCAGCAGTGTGCCAAGGCAAGCTGCCATTCTGCCCCTTCCCCATGCTGGGCACTGCTCCTGGCAGCATTACACTGACCACCCCAATGTGAGCTGCCAAATGTTGGCCAAACACTCATTCACAGAAATGACCGAGTTACACAAGTGATCCCCAAACTCTTCCCGCTGATCTGAGCTCCAGGGCTACACCATCAGCTCCATTCAGGCTTCTGAGCACTTAGTTTTGGCCCAGGATCAGTCCTGTGACTCCTCTGCAGCATTGCACATGCAAACAAAGCCAGAAGAAAACTCTTAATGTACAATTTGCAAATCACAGTACACATACTTCTTTAGTTGAGTGTGATCCCAGCAAAAACCAGATGGGAAGGAGTACAAGAGAACAGGAGGAACACAGGGCATAATCAACTGCCTGTGCGGAGGGCACTGATTTAGTAGGTCCTCAAGATCAAAGCACACCTTTTTCAGGTTGGAAAACAAGGAACATCTTGAAACAAGGGACAATCAGCATCAGAGACTTGAGGCCTTAAGAGATGATTTGGGGAAGAACAGAGAAAGGGTAGGAGCCCAAAGATACCAGGCAAAGACACAAAGGACAGTTAATAAATTCCAACAAGAATAGATCATCACTCTCAGCCCCCAAGGGATGTAAAAAGAGCAGATCGAAAGGCATGATGACCAAGAGACACCAGAGGTCTGATATTTGACATTCCTTGTCTGTTGTGTCATTCCAAGGAATCCTGTCCAAACCATCTGCACACACATCTGTCCAAATGCTGGACAACCACTTGGAGATCCCCACATTGGTGCTCGTGTGTAGGTGGGTTTGGCTGCGAATGAGTGAAACTCATTTTGTTTTAAAATAAATTCGCCTTCTCCCTTCTGAGGTCTCACGTCATTGATTGCTCGCTTAACTCCCAGCAGTCAGCAGGGAGCCGTGAGCTTCCTTCCAATCCAATGGAAAAGTTCAGGTCTCCCAAGAGGCAGAGCAGCAGTGGGTGGCTTCCACTGGAGGATGCCATCTGCACAGAGAAATGACATCCCTGCCGGATGGGGGAAGATCCCACGCTCCGTGGAGCGTCCCATCCATCATGCCCGTGTGGCTTGATAGCTTAAAAAAGACAGAGAAGGAGAGCGAGCACAGAACAGACACACCCACACGTCTGCATTTATAAGAGGAAGACAGCAATTTCCCCAGGAATTCAGTGTAAATTAGTTTATGAGATGCTCTGAGATTTTTACACAACACCCCCAGCTCAACTGGTCTTGGTGACAAACTGCTCCAGATCACCAAGATCCTACCCCGGTCTCTGCTTTTAATCTTTTCTTTGTAATCCATTCTTGCTCAACACACCAAGGACAGTTATTTTACTGCTCAAAAAACAGCAAATTAAGACTTAAGGTATCAAATCCAACACCTGCCTCTGCCACTTCTTTTTATGGCAGGTTTCACACCAACACTTTTCTACCTCAAGGACCACTGGCATTGTCCTTGCTTGACTCAGAGCAAAACCCAGGCTGTGGCATTTTCTGTCCCACCCACCTGCACTAGGTGCTCTGAACCCCAAACACAGAACCAACACCGTTTTTCCCCCCCAAAATTGTTACCAAATATTCATGTGCAGCCACAAGCAGAGAAGAGAAGAGGGAGGCTGTGAGGAGGGAGTCAGCAATTCGTTTTCCTTCCTTTCTGAAACAGCAGCAGGAAATGCAAACAAGCAAGACACCGAAGCAGAAAAGACACCAAAGCAGAAAAGCCACGTCCTTCCCAGGCCACCTCACACTCGCTGGGGTAACAGCTGGGTGACAACAGCCTGTCCCTCACCCGGGGTGGCAGCGATGCTGTGAATCCTGGACCACACGTGAAGGTACCCGGGGCTGACTGCACGTGAGTGTCGCGTGCTCCAACATCCACTTCCCCATCAGAGTGGAAAAATATTTCCTGCGCTGGGACTGCTGCTCCAAAGGAGGAGCGAGGGGCGTATTTCAGCCTCCTGCCAGTTCTTGCTGAAAGCTGCTGGAGCCAGCAGCTGTTTGCAGGGATTGGGAAGCGAGGAATGCGGGAGAGCATCAGTAAGCCAGAGTTACACAAGTCCTGGAGTTATGGAAAATGAGAAAGCAAAAGACCTAAAGTTGCAGTTCCTGACTTCTCATGGAGAATTCAGCAGCACACAAATATTAAAAGCTGAGAAATCCAATACTGGAGCTACTTGTACAGTATGCAGCATTACACCACAGCAGAAAGGGTTTGGGAAGAGTGGGACACGGTTTGTGATGTGTTACACATCCCAACTCACATCTCTACTCAAATCCCACAGACTAGAACACTTCCCCTCAAGCGTTAAAAATACCTTGAAAAGCTGTAATTCACATCAACCCTAAAAGCTCTTATTCACCAAACAGTTGTGGCTCCAGTCAGAAATCCTCTGGGCCAACCTTCCTCCAGTGAAAACAAAACCTTGGCTAATTCAAGTGCATACTTAAATATTCCAGCCAGATGCCCTTCACATTGAAGGTATTTGGCAACATGGGCTCAGAGCCTGAGTTTGGATTTGCTTGGTTGGAACTTTACACCCAGCACAACCTCAGAAACATTTGTCCACATGGCTTTAACTGGGGACTTGGACAGGAAAAAAATGGAGTGCATTTCAGATGTATTTTCCAACAGCTTCACTCCTCAAACTCCAGCAAATGGTGGTGAGAAAGCTGGAGAACAGGAATTAAAGCCTTTGAAAGCTGTGTTTAATTTTATGTTCTACTTCCAGAAAGCAGAATTTCATTTCGCTTTAAATGCAGGATCTTAAAATTCATAGGTCTGAGATGATTTCTAAAAATGCCAACTCCTTTTTTAAGTTTCTGAACTTGAATTGCCAGCGCCGATAAAAGTTTTCACGAAATGCGAGCTTGTACCTGGAAAAGAAAAAGAGCCTGGGGAGCTGCTGGGCTGAATTAAAAATAAAAATCACCAGATTGGTAAAATAGAGACTTTTCAGCAAGTTTTTCAGAAAAGAGAGTGCTCAGGACAGATTGTTAAAACACCACTTTGAGAGACAGGACTGGGAGGGCAACAAAGATCCCATGGGAAGAGATTACACAGGGATTAGGGGAGCACATAAAGCACAGGGAGGCCACAGGGCTGCAGTAAGACATGACCCTGTGCAGGGGGCACGACTGGAGCAGCGTTACAGGTGCCCTGTGCTCTCCCCCCACCCCAACCCACCCGAACTGCACTTCTGGGCACAGCAAAACCCGATGCTACAGGGCTGGAAGCTGTTGCCAGGTAATTCATACCCAAACACACCTTTTCTTACCCAAGCACCCAGCACCGATTAGCACCAAGGAAAGAGAAAGAAGAGAGCTCGGAAGCAGAGAAGGGTCACAGTGCAGATCCATCCCAGTCCTGCCCTCTCCCAGCCTCTGCTGATCCTCACGGCACAAGGTGGCTCGGTTGACAGCCAAAACAACAGAAGAAACAAACCCGGCTGCTCCAAACCTGGACTGCTTCCATTCAAAACAAGCTTTTAAGCGAGTTCCCCTCGGAGGGGGAAAACAGAGACAGCAACTGAGCCGAACAAAGCGTTTGCCTGTCAATTAAGCCGAGGGCTGGTTTGGGGCAAGGGTGAATAGAAAAACTGAGGCAGCGAGAGGAGGGCAGGGACACCCAGACACGGGATCCCACCTGGACACGGGACCTCACCACACTTCGCGTCCAACCCGATTACTCCTGGGTCCTTCTGGGCACCGGGGAGGGTTATTCATTTGTGCGGAGATCGGATGTGTGGGGTGCGAACCTGGCACGATCCGGAGGGCCCCTCCAGCTCCCCAACGCCTTCGGTTCCCGGCAGGAGCTCCTGGAGCTCCGGAACAGCCAAGCCGGGTCCCACCTGGAAAAGCCGGTGGCTCGG